CTTTTCTACAGAGCTGTATCATTCTTTTATATATAAAACTGATTTTTTTAAAGTCTGCATAAATATCACATAAATACAATAATTGGAGTCAGTGAAAAGAACATTTAAAAATATAGAGATGAGCATGGCTGATACCCCAATATATTGTATCTGGGTTCCAAAATCAGTTCTCTTCCATTGAAAGAAAAATGCAATATCACTTGGCTGAGAAGGAATGACTGTTTTAACTTTGAGCCCCAGTACTGACAGTGTACATTCAGAAATCTGGGTCTGCTGGTTCATAGCTATAACTGAAGCACCTGCAAGTCTGAGCACCAGCAGGAAGTTCCAGTCAAGTCTGGACTACATAGTGAGAGCCTAGAGAGGGAGAGAGAGAGAGAATGAGAGAGAGAGAATGAGACAGAGAGAGACAGAGACAGAGAGAGACAGAGAGAGAGAGAGAGACAGAGATAGACAGAGACAGACAGACAAAGAGACAGACACAGAGACACAGACATACAGAGACACAGAAATGCAGTCACACAGAGACAGAGACAGAGAGAGAGACACACACACAAAAAGAGACAGGGAGAGAGGAAAAAACATCTTAGATAAAGACCAAGCATTAAAAACCTCTCAGCTGCATTTCTCATCAAAAAAGTGAGATGATTGGAGGGATTGTATGTGTGGTGGTCATTTCAAGCTTTAAATGCTGGTGGAATATGCACCTTTTCTTTCCAAGGACAAGTTGGAGCAGAGTAGTGATGCATTCAGAATTCTTTCAGAAATATGTAGATAATGGGAGGATTTCTTTTTGTGGATGCTGTAGCCATTGCAGCTCGATTTATAGCTGCTCCTAACAGCCGCTATCCTAAGTACTCTTTCTCAAGTACTTCCTAAGTGCTGGTCATGGATCCTGGTATTAGGTACTTGTCATACACTCTGTTTTTCTTGTAACAGCCTGTCATGGAGCTCAGGCTGTCACTGATCTCACATTGTAGCTGAGGATAGCCTTGAACTTTTGGGCCATCTGCATCTGGCTCTGAGCACTTGGGTTACAGGCGTGTACCACCAGAGCCAACAATGCATTTACTATTATGATTTACATACTATGGCTACAGTTTTACAAACGGATAAACTGAGATAAAAAAATAACCTATAATGTGATCAACAACATATACTAAGTAAATAAATCTCAGAGGCAAGATTGGAGTCTTGGTTTCTGATCCTTAACCCAATAATTTTCATTCTCCTACCCTTTGTGAATGATGGACAGTTCAGTGTTAGTTGTGGTATATCTCAGGATTTTAGTGGTTTATTCTGGTGTCATGACCATATATGACATCCACACAATAACATCTCCCAAAGTTATTTCTCTAGCTCGGCCCTTTCTGGATTTCAGATTTACATATATATGGAACGCCTCAGTACCTCCCCTAATATCTAACAGATGTCTCAAATATGGATGCTGAAAAACAAGCAGTTGATTTGTCTACAGATTGTTGTACTCGGAGACGTTCTAGGCTTAGTACACAGGAACTCCAGTTTCCTTCTCATCCAGAGTAAGTACATAGTAAGCTTCTCTTACTACATTATAGCCCACATTTAGTTTCTCTGGAAACTGTCAACCCTCCTGCAATATACATCTAAATTTGATGACTCTCTGAATCTCTCAACCATAGTCAACTACTGTCCTATGGCCGTCCCCAAGCATTTTACTGTACAGCAAAGGCATTGCTATGGGAACCACAAAACCAAGGCTTGAGTCTAGAGCTTCACGTTGTGTGGAGTGAAGCACAGAGCCACTGTAAAAAACCAGCCAGAAATTTTAGCATCACATATATCTTGTTTAGTGGGATCTCTGCTCAGTTCTTACCATGTCACCAAAAGACAGAAGGGCTTGTCTGCATTTATTATGAGCCCACTTGCCTTGCTTCATCTTATATCCCTACTCCAAGATGGTACATTTAAAACATAACATTTTAATTCAGGAAATGAGAGAGTAAACTTATATTTAATTTACTTCCGGGGCGGGGGGGGGGGGGGGGGGGGATCTGTGACTCTGCATCGTTTAAAAGGCTCCAGGAGTGTCAAGAGTTCATCTTGAGGCTGGTCAGACGGCTCAGTAGGTAAAAGAGGGTAAAAGAGCTGGCCACCAAACCTGAAGACCTGAGTTTGATCCCCAGCATCCACATGGTGGAAGGAGAGGAAGGTCTACCTCTACCTGTCGGCCTCACCTCCACACTGTTGCCTTCTTATAAGTGCAAATCTCTCTCCCACAAATCAATAAATGTAAACAAATTTTAAAACTGAAACATGAGTTCATTTTAGCAACCTTAATAGATTGGCTTGCTCCAGCTTTAATTTATCAGCCTGCTGGCCCTATTGATAACTGTGCGTTCCTTATGATAAAAGGCAAAACTGAGTATTATCTGAATCTCCAGAGAGCTCCTAATAGAAGCAATGTCTCTGACACCCAGATTCTCTGTCCAAACTTGAAAACTACAAGTGGGGAATGTCTCCACTGGGGCTGTCTCCTGTGATTCATAACTTTCAAGGACTTTCATAAAGTGAGGATGATAGCTTTTATGAACTGTTCTATAGAAGACATGATCTCCTTACATTCCAAAACAAAATGCTGCCTCATTCTTTTATACAAAGGCTACTCATACTTTTTTATAAGGGCTACCACTTCTTCCATCAGAGGGAGGACAAAGCTGATTTTCTCTTCCATTTGGGTCTTTTTTTTTCTACCTGTTTCATATCAAATTTTCCAGTTTTATCTTTCTAAGTCATTATTTTCCTTAGTGCATATCCTATCTGCATCTACTAGATGGATGGTCATAATTTCATAAATAAATTATGTTTACAAAAATGAAACATAGTTGTTTGAAATACAATGAATAGCCTACAAATATATTTATGCAGTGCACAGATTTTAAAAGCTTGACACATAAAAGAACATAGTTTTAAACTCAGGGACCAAGATAGAGATCACAAACTTATTTTTCTTTTCTAATGCTAACTCAAAGACGTTTTCCATATGTAACTAGATTCTCTTACTGGGACAGGTGGAAGGAAATTTTGTTGACTTAAGGTACACATAGTAAATTTTAAAACCTTAAATATAAAGATCAAAGAAAAACATGTTGATGATATCTGTAAGAACACTGGAGAAGAAATCCACCAGGGTAAAAAAAAAAAAAAAAAAAAACATTCACAGTAATACATTTCTAAACACATAACTAGTCACATTTCCAGGCAAATTTTGGGGACATGTTTTATAGCCATCCAAATGGTACCTGAGACAGGTACCCAGCATCAGGCTTATCCCATTTTCAAATTTCTTACTTTATGTGATTCAAACCATCTTCCACATCTGCTACCAGTGGTGGTGGTGAGATTTTTACGATGTAAGCCTTAAATCCAGGTCCTGGTATGACTATATCAAAAATTTCAAGTCATGACTCTCTCTAACTTAGTATTTGTCTTGTTAGGGCCTGTGAAATGCTCCTGTGAATCAAGTACCTGCCCTAAAAAACAGTCAACCTGAATTAGAACCCCAAAACTAACATAAACGTGGAGGATAAGAATTGATATCACAAAGTTGTCCTCTGTCCTCCACATATGCACCATGGCACCTCACACACACCACCACACACATAAAAATAATTTTAGAGTAGTAGATGACTTAGTGGATAAAGATACTTTCCACCAAATCTGATGATATGAAGTCAGTTTCTTGGACCCACGTGGTAGAGAGAACTGACTCCTTCAAGTTGTCCTCTGACTTCTAAATGTATGCAATGGCAGGTACATGTGCACACAAGTGTACACACACACACACACACACACACACACACACACACACACACCAAATGAATAAATAAATAAATAAGGTAGTGAAACATTTAAGAGTTTGTCTTGGGCTGGGCATGGTGGTACACACCTTTAATGCCAACACTCAGGAGGCAGAAGTAGGTGAATCTCTGTGAGTCCAAGGCCAGTCTGTTCTAAATGTGAGTTCCAGGACAGCCTGAGTTCTAGGACTACACAGCGAGACCCAGTTTCAAAAACCAAAAACCAAACAAAGAAAGAGTTTGTGCTAATAGAAACTTAGCTGTATTTCCTTTTTTTCCACTTGTGTTGGGTTTCTGAAACACACAACTCTTCACCTCGAGGCTTCTATGTGCTCCCGTTTCTCATTCTCCCCAGCACAGCTCTGGTCTTTCAAGTCTTTGCTTCTTTGCTTTTCCAGGCCTGACTCTCAGCCAGACTGCTGCTTTTGCCTAGAATAAAACCTCTCATTCCAGCTACTGGGTTCAACTTCAAGGACTAAGTCAAATCACTGTTACCCATCAAGTTCTCCCATCCTGCTTCTAGGAATCATGTCCTTCGATAGGGAGAATAAAGACTACAGTTGAGTAGATACAGACAAACAGACTTAAACTTGTGAATAAAACACGGGGGCAAGTGGTCAAAAGAGGGGGTGAGGAGAAAGTCAGTACAAATGTCATTGGGGAATACTGGAAAACCATTGGGAAGTCCAGTGTACCTAGAAACACACTGGCAAATCCCCATGAACTCAGAGTTTACAAGCACTAACATAGCAAGAGAAATTTGTACAATTCTGACCAAAAAGACGCAAAATACACAGCACAGATTCTGTGCCTCTGTTTGATTTAAATGATAAATCACTGAGGAAAATTAATGCATGGAAACTGTTCCAATATAACACTGTAAAACCTGAAGGCATGAAAGGCTATCCTTGCAGTCTAGTTAAAATGAAGGAAGTCTTGGAGGTAGCAAGTGGTCGGGAAGGAAACAGAAAAGAAAGAAGCTGCTTAGAAGATAGAAGAGTGTGTTACTTACCCGCTGTCCTCCCCTTGCCACAGGCTTACTGCAGAAGAAAAGGAAGAGCTAGGGTAACAAAGCCACACATATTCTTGAAAAGACCTCAACTTTATAATTAAATCAAAGAGAAAGTACCATTTATATGACCACAATACTAAAAGGATATGAATGTACCAAAATCTTAATAGCTAATTTTCTAATGGGGTTGAAGGGAGTGAGGATGTACAGGGCGGAGGTGGCACTGAACCGGGAGATGGCCTTCCCTTTATTCAATACTATAAAGGTCTGAAAGAGAAAACACAACACGTGAAACAGAATTTACAGAACACAGCTAGGGCATCGTAAGGGAGTAAGAGTCTTCTCTAAAATAACAAGTGCTGTAACCATTACCAGCACATGGCAAGATAATGGCCCCTTTTCCTTTTTGACATTGCAGGAAATTCAAAATGTGATAAGGGACTTCAGGAGGTAAGGAATATAAAGACAATTTTGTGATTAGTATCACAGGAATTCTTGGCGTCTTTGCCAAGTATGTGACTCATATTTTCAGCTATATCTATAGTTCTCACAAAACGTAAAAATGAGGCTGCCGTAACTTCTTCACTTAGGTAATTTCATGAAAACTTCAGGGTTTTCCAAATATGGCCTTCGTTAGACTTTTTTGGCACTTACATGAGCTCTGGTGTTATTTCTTCTGGGGGGAGCCACAGGAAAGTGATGGTCTGTGGTGTGAAGGTATAATTAAGCCTGCTAAGGATGGTAAGCCTTATATCAAGTTCCAGGCTACAGGGGAATCTTAGATACCGCTCTTAGAGATACAAAAATAAGAGGCTCCCACTTTCCGCTTTTCACTTCATCACAATGCAGTAGCATCATAGTGAATCTGCATTCGATTTACGGTATAATCAGTATTCAGAGAAATGAACTGGCTTTGCCTTCCTCACATGCCCTCTTACAGGATGGCTCTTCAGTATCTGCCTGTCCCAAGAACACAGGCTCAAACAAGTACTTTCAAAACACATAGAATTTTGTTCCACTGTGTGATCAGGCCCAGCCAGCATCCTACAGATATTTTAAGAGATGGAAGGAGGTACGTTCTTCACCATCTTAAGGTAACAGGGAAAATAAAAGCAACCGGTCTTAAAGACTCACTTTCTTATTAATATAGTAGGGGTCCAGGTCCTCCAGGGGCTCTGACACCATCTCTGGAGGAATGTCTCCATAGATAAAAGGAAGGGATTTTCCTGCTTCCAAGTCACTGTTTGGCTTTGGGCCGTTTTCATCGTCTTCATCCTTGCGTTCCTGCTTGGGTCTCTTGGCTTTCTCTTCTGCAATGCGTTGTTCAATAGCAGCAAGGGATTCCCTGGTAAAGAAGCGGAAGCTGTCAGGTCCTGGCGGTACCAGCACTGATTGTGCCATCTTTTCATCCTGCTTCTTTAATCACTGTTTAGCTCCTCGCATAAGAAAGTGCTACAGAAACAGGAGGGAAAAAGCAAGGACCATTAAGATAAAAGGTGAGGGTGGCAGTCACAGGACACTGAGCATAAAGTCTGTCAAGCAAACAGCTAGAGAACTTCCAAAAGGCCACTGCATCTAGCCTTGTGAGCTCTGGTGCACGCACTCATTTGCCTGCAAGGAGATCTTTCGCTCACATCCAGTAGGTGTGTATGAGGTAATCCATTCTCCCACTCCTGAAATGTTTGAAATGATTGTGCTACTTGGGGGAAAACACCCTGTTCAGAGCTTGCAAATGGAAGATACTGGTGTGTGCTTGCTGTTTCACTCGCATGAATATTTTTTGGGGAGCCATTTTTCCCCCTGCATTCTTTCTGAAAATATATCAGATTCAAAACAAGAGAAGGAAAAAAAATCACACAAAATCGTAGAAGCAGGCTGTGTGGGAATCTTGCTTCTCTCTCTCTCTCTCTCTCTCTCTCTCTCTCTCTCTCTCTCTCTCTCATTTTCTTTTTCTAGTTTTTCTTTGGCCCAATTTATCACCTTTAAGAGTTCATTCAAAACTGTGTCATCTGGGAAAGAGCTCAGGAAATCCTGCAAGGCCTGTCTGTGGGGGGTGAGGTTGGGGTGGTGAGGGTGGTGGTGGTGGTGGTGGTAGTAGTCGTGGTGGTGGTGGGAAGGAGGAGCAGGAGATGCCTGGCTGCGTTTGGAACTGCTGGCAAACTGCACAGGAAGGGACCAGGCACCTGCCAGCACAGGCAGGAAGTCCCTCACATCAGAGGTCTGGAGCTTGGGCCTCCTAGCTTAGCAACCTGCTGCCAACTCGTGTAATTGCTTCTTAAATTAACAAATTTGCAGTACGTAAAGAAACACCACAGAGAGATACCATGTTTCCAAGTAAGACCCATTTCACAACAAAATCTAGCAGAGTAGTTCAAATATCCATTTCAGAATTTGGACTTGAAAAAAAGTAGTCTAACACAGTTTCTCTTTTAAGCACAGCCTCTATGGCATGGGCTTTCTTGATGATACAGACGGAGTTTAACTGATACTTAAATCACATAATCACGTTTTATTAAGGCAGATAACTTGACAGATGTGGTTGCAAATGCGACCTCAGTCAGTTACAGGAATTTCTGTGCTATCTAAAGAATACAGCAAAATCTTTGACCCTAGAATGCCATCTCTTCAAAAATCACTTAATCTATTTCTTTTTTTTCCTTAAAAGAAAAAGAAATCCATTTTAACCTCCACACTACAGAAATGCGTTGCCACTGTAATATACGAAATGCCTCTTCTAAGAGTAAAACAAGTTGCCAATTCATTTCTGCTGCAGTCTACACCTGGTAAAGACACAAGGAAATCTGAACACCCTAAGCTGCTGAATAGCTTCATTAAAAAAAATATATAAATCTGTATGTATAGATAGAATTTATTTTTGAAGTTACCCGGAACCTCTCAGGCACCGGCTGACAGACTGCCCTGTCAGCATCACAGGATCTCCAAAGCATTCCTTATTTTCCTTCACTCATCCCCACAGGTTCTCCTGCCTAGCGGTAGGCACAGGCAAAAGGATGCTCCTAACACATTCAAGGGAGGAAACTGTTGTACCCATGCCTGGTGTTCTAGGGAGATAGACATGCTAAAACATGCAGTCCCCAGCTTCAAAATGAAAGGGTTCCCCCTGCAGATCCCCCCCCCCCCCAAGGATTCCACTGCAAAGGTAGAGAAGCCTCAGATTGCAAGCATAGTAAGAACAGGAGGAACACATTACCCCTGCAGAAGCTTTTAGACTCAGAGTTTGGGGTCTGTAAGCTGGAACCAAGAAGACTGCAGCTAAAATTCCATCATGCTTTAAAAAAGAAAAAAAAAAAAAGAAAAAAAAATTTTTTTTTCCCAAATTCTCCTTTAAAGACCACACCTAACTTCCTGTAAGAGGATTCTGGTAACTGAAGTAAGAACAGGCATTTCCTGTGTGGGGACTACAAAGTGACATTTTTATAACTGCCACTAGAGGGCTGGGAACTGTGAAGAAAAACACCTTCCTAGAAAAACACTGAGTACGCAGCAGGCAGCCCTCAGCGTCCAGGGGTGGAGCCCGGAGGGTCTGCAAGCTGTCGGAGACCTGAGCATCAAGACAGGTGGCGACGGAGCTGCATTCGGCTGACTGGCAACACTTCCATTCATTCCTTGTGTTTTCTAAGCCAGAACGTCATTTAATCACAATGAATAATTCAAAAGTATAAAGAAGCAAATAGGCAAGGGTTAAAAACATTTAAATCTCAGTAGTGGATTGCTGACTCCATTAATGAAATCATAGTAATGGACACATTATACACAGTCAGATTTAACATTACTCTCTGTTCCAGAATACCTGGGGTCCAATAAACTGTTTGCTGATGTAACAAAGAGATAACCCTTGCGTTTTGTAAGTTACTTTCTCCAGTAAAAAATGTTTAACCTAATAATGCACCAAGCGCTTTCTCTCTCTCTCTCTCTCTCTCTCTCTCTCTCTCTCTCTCTCTCTCTCTCTCTCTCTCTCTCTCTCAGACTAGGTCACTGAAAAGAAACCAGAGGGTCTGGAGAGGCAAACTCTGTGAATAATGCACTTGCTGCACAAAAATGAGAACTTCAGTTTGGATCCATAGCACCCACAGAAAAAGGCAGACAGATGTTCCAGCCCACCTGCAATCCCAGGGCTACCAAAGCAGAGACATGAGTTTCCAAGCTGAACTAGGCAGTCTAGCCAAAGCAGTTACCTCCGGGTTCGACTGAGAGATGTTGATCAATAAATACAAAGGAGAGAAGTCAGGAAAGATACCCAGCTCCGATCGCTGGCCTCTCCACACATGCATGTACATTGGTCACACACATACAAATATGCACACACATTGAAAGAGACACCCCATACCAGTGGTTCTCCACTGTCCTAATGCTGTGACTCTTTAATACAGTTCCTCATGCTGTGGTGACCTCCAACCATGAAATTATTTCATTGCTACTTCATAACTGTAATTTTGCTACTGTTATGAATCGTAATGTAATTATCTGATAGGCAGGATATCTGATACACAACCTTCAAAGGGATCATGACCCATGGGTTGAGAACCACTTCCCTATACACATACACAAGTCCAAAAGGAAAAATACATGTAGAAAAGAAAAGCTACCAGGAAAAAAAATAGTTCTGACTGGAGATTGAGACCATAGCTGTCACTCTGTCAACTAATAACATAATAAGAATGAAAGACTTACTATGTGCCAGTCATTGGGCTAAGATGCCTGCCTGCACGGTCCCATAAATCTATGAAATAACACGTTCCAGACTCGCATTTGAAAAGAGAAGAGTTACGCTGAGATTCAGAAGTCTCCTGAAGTCATGTAAACATGATTCAAGCTCAAAGGCTGACAATGAAACCTGTAACCTTTACACAGTCATCAAAAGAAACACTCATGCAGCTTAAGCCCAAAGTGAACATGAACTACACATTGGACAGCAGTGCAAGTTTGTCCTCACTGTTGACCTGACTGGGTTGGGAATCACTGAGGAGACACACCTTTGGCCATGTTTTTGGAGGATGTTTTCAGAGAGGCTTAAACCAAGGAGGACTCACATTGAATATAGGAGGTCCTATCCCAGAAGGTGGAGTCCCAGGCTGAATAAAATGGAGAAAAGGAGAAAGCCAATTGACTACCAGATTTTTCTGATTTCTGACGACAGACACAATGTCCCCAGCTGTCACATGCTCCTGTCACCTCCTGCCACCATGCCTTCCCCACCGTGATGGGTGGTGCTCCTTAAGTCAGGCATTTGGTAATCTCCATGAAAAGTAGTTAATAGAAGTTAGTCTACCAAAAATACATATTTGCACATTTTTTCTTGTTTTCTTTTCAGTGGAGATTGTACTTGTTGGAAATGAAGAAGGGGAAAAGTTAGCCAGAAGTAGTATTTTACTCACTGGGGCAGATATCTTCTGGTTGTAAGAGAAAGTGACTCAGACTGGTTGCAGCAAAAAAGAAAATTAAAAAAAAAAGAAAGGATTTGTTGGTTTGTAGTTTATTGTTCAAGACTAGCATTAAGTATAGGGTGAGTCAGAACCTCAGCTGATGTCATCAGTGCAGAGTTACACTGGATCTTTTGGCTCTGACTTCCATAGTGAGAGGTACTTTTTAGAGGCTCCTGTTGTGATAGGTGTTACACAAAGCCCAGCCTGCCAACTTCCCAAACTCAAGTGTGATAGGAAACAACAAAAGTGCAACAGTGTGCACGCTCTCATGCACTTGCACACACACACACACACACACACACACACACACACACACACACACACACAAAACAAACAATAAAGCAAGAAAAGCTGTCATTATCTCTCACTGGCCCCAGTTCTAGGTGGCTCCTAAGTGACCACTCTGTGCAGAGCAATAGCAGTATTTCCAGTGAACTGGACTTGCCTGAGCCACATGCTTTGGAGCAGAAAATCTTCCTTTAAAGCATGTGAACTGTAAGGTCATATTGTGAAATAGAAGTACTCAAAACCAGAATGGGGTGGGGAGTGATCTAGACAGACAGCTCTGTGGTTCAGAGCACTTGCTGCTCTTCCAAAGGACCAGGGTTCGGTTCCCAATGCTGGTTGGTAGCTCATAATTCTCATAATTCCAGGTCCAGTATGTCCCATGCCCTTTTCTGCTCTCTGTCTCTGTCTCTGTCTCTGTCTCTGCCTCTCTCTCTCTCTCTTTCTCTCTCTTTCACACACACACACACACACACACACACACACACACACACACACACACAAATAAAAATGAAACATCTTAAAAAAAAAAAACCAGAATTGTGTTTAGTGTAGTAAGGGGTACATTAATACAAATATGTACTTTAGTAATATACTAGCAGTCAACTTTCAATGCCTGAAAATTTGGCAAATAATAATAACATCAATATCAGAACATACACACAGTTACCTGAAGACTTAAAACTATATTCATTTGTATCACTCTTTATGCAGAAGATTTTG